AGGTATATATTTTTAGCAATTTGTCACCCTTGTGATGTCGGGTAAGTGGCCTTTCGGGTAAATAACTTTCGGGGAATTCATACCGTAACCCAATTAGTGTTTATTTGTTTTACTGTATGTTACACCTGATCTTTGGATTTTAATTTAACCTGATAGTGAAATTGTTAGGTTGGTGATGCTATAGTGGTTCTAAAAGTCGAGGTGAAATGTCTTTCCGAAAATTACATTAATGGTAGACTTAAATTGTATTAGAAATTTTTATAGTATAAAAATAAAAACTCATAGTGTCCTCAATATGTGCACGCTTGTCTTATAATCTCAAATATATGCTAAATATATTGTAGTAAAAAAAGTGGGATATATATCTTTCTGAAAATTATATTAATATTTTGAATCATTGTATTAGAAATGTACTTTGGGTCATATATGGGTTGCACCACTTCATAGTATAAAAAATTATAAATCATGGTGTTCAGATTGTGCAGGTAAAAGATGATGTACTCTTGAAGATGCTAAAAAAAAGGTTGCTTTTTAAGTAGAGGTAGCGATAACAAAACTCGTTTACACTAGAAATGTGCTAAGGTTATGAGTGGATCGCATCAATACCATGTTAAAAATAATAATATTCTGTGTTTGCATTGTGCAGGTAACATTCGGTCTACTATTTAAAATGCCTTTCAGACAAGTATATCAATTTTCAAGTTCCATTACAATGATGTTGTGTTAAAGAGCATTAATGAAATATAAATTTTATATTATATAAAACATAAAAGTACCTGGTGTTCCTTCTGTTCAAAATATAAAAGAGAGAATTTGTACCATGAAATTGTCTTGAACCAGTGTTGACACTGGAATTCTGGAACCCAGAGTTCCAGTGGTTCTAGCCTCACTGAATTCCATATGATTGGCTAATTTCATCGGTTAAATGTGATCACTAACCACTAAAATCAAAAAACAATTAAGAAGTCAAAAAAAAATCTAGTAAGTGTACAAATTATTTATTCTTTATTATTAGCGAAGCTTCACTTTTTAAATAGTAATTATATTCTATCTCTAATCAACACACCTTTATTAAAGGCACGCTATAGCATTATTAGTTCATATAGTTAATACTAGTAACCAAACGGTGGCGTTTTATAAAGCTAGAGCTTCATGTATTAGTGTATCAGTCCTAAAGTTTAACATGAAGATCTAATAGGTTACAACAAAGAATTAACTGGTAATATACAAATAAATAGAATGCGTCAATTTTAAATAGAATATTTTTATAAGTTTACATTAATACGCGCAGCATACAACCCATTAGCCATGAAGAAAGTAATCATTGTAAGTCAAAATATTATCGTTACTAACCTTTGTTTAAACGTGTATTTGTTACTCATCATTCTTCAATGTTATTCATATATTAGAAGACAAGATATGTCGTTTTGCAGTTAAATTTATGCCTAAATGCTAAACATATAAAAACACATCTTTTCAAGAATTTCAGTTTGATCATTTGCATTGTTACTTTTATTAAATTCAAAAAATGTGTGAATTACCTTGAATATTATGGGTTGACCAGTATTATATGTTATAAAATTGCCGTTGTTTGTGGTAACGCTGGATTTACTCAAATTTTACTTTTGCAAAAATAATCACTGTCTAATGAGCAAAAAAATACTTTAAAACATACAAGTTACTGGTTATTCATGAATTACTACTCCGGATAATTGATTCGAATTGGCCAATCAGAAGTCACCGGAAGCCATTGGACATCACTATAACTTCTATTCCCACTGAAACGTTCCAGTGAGTAACACTGTTTTGAACCATCGTCTAAAATAAGCCAACCTGATTTTCTTAAAACTTCAGAGTACCCAACTGAATTACATCTTGATATTCATTATCCACAGTACGGTTTTGCAATTGAAGTACAAGGCATGCATGAAAAATGTCATGAATTCTTTTATAGAGATCCGAATAATTTCATCAAACAGCAAGCACAGAATCAACTCAAGAGTCATGCGAAAAGAATTGGTATTGTAAATAATGATACCTGACAAAACCTTATAGTTTCATCAATGACGAAATTTATGGTTTCGTAAGGCATCTATAATTATAAAGACCCATATATAGTTATTCCAGAACATCTTCAAAAATTTGATCTTGCTGGTAAACTTAAAACTTCGAATACATTACGTATATATTATTTTTTAATAACACCATACACAATTGTAAAATATGATCGCTATTTTATTTTCCTGAAATTTATATTTTAACATTACATATGATTATCACAAGAACTATTAGAATGACTGTCTTTTATATTTATCTTTTTTTTTGTACCCTGTGTACTTAAATTCCTGCCCCGCTCTAACCTATCCTAACTAATCATTTTATGTTAGATGAAACTTCATATTTCAATACTATATGATTGTCATATTATTTTTTACAATTTTCAAGATCATAATTACTGCTTTTGGATTTATGTGTGTTTTTGTACCTATGTACATAGATAGAGCCCCAATCGCTCTATCCTATCTTAACCAACCATTTTATGTTAGGTCTATCTTGAACTCATTATCTCATCCTATAGGTCAATTATTTTAAATTTTTTAACAATCTGCACTGCGCATATCGAACTGCAAAACAAGCCTCTATTCAAAGAGATATCCTTTTATTGGTGTATGGTAGAAAAGCCCAATTACCCATATATTCATTGTGTCTAATGAATTGAAACTGTTAAGTAATGACAAAGCATTGCAGAATTCTTCAGTGCAGATAATAATACCTTGAGTTCCCAAAGAATAACAAAGTCAAAGATAGATAATGCTTCAAATAGATTAAAGTAATTGATTTATGAAATCGTTCCATTGTAAACCACCACACTCAATCCGATCCTCTATGAAATATAGATGTTAAAATAAAGGATGTTCTATAGAATAGGTGGGCAATATAAGAAATAAGCTTCGCTAATGATTAGTAATCATTCATTTTTTTAATATCGGAGTTGCGGAGTTTGCG